ATATTTCTTTTATTAAAAGATAGAAATGGAGTGTAATATAAGTCTTCAGATTAGAGTCAAGAACGATGAAGTGAATGCGAGATCAAATGCACCGAACTGCGTGTATGGCTAGACAAGCAGAAATGCAGACTTTGCTTTACTTACCATGCTGTCGATCTCGCTCTCAACCGGTCCCTGATAGGCTATCACCGTGTTGTTGAGGACATAGGTACCATTTCCCGGCAAAGAACTGTCGATCGAATTCGTCATCCAATATGTGGTTAGCGCACCGGTATATAGACACACGATGGTGGTGATGAAAAGAGTTCCACTGAGAAGTTTTGTCCAATTCCGGCTCATACTCTGCTCGCTGGCCGTTATCATGTGCTCTGTGTAGAACAGATAGAACAGGAAAGACAAGATTTGCTGACATAGAGCCATTTCCACCAGAACAAAAGTCAAAATCATCAGTGCCTTCATTTGCTCGGTCCAGATGAGCACACCAGCAATCAACCCGTTAGCCCCCATGACAATGAGAAGGATGATCAAGCCCATAAGCCAGTGCTTCCGTTTCGTTGACAAGGTTGTGCGCTGTCTGTTCTTCTTACCCGCCCTCAACGCAGCCATATCGACAACCGCTGATACCATTCGAGCATGTGACGCAATGTCCGCCGAGGAAAACTTATTACACTTAAACTTCGACAAATCTTCCTTACCTCCTTTTTCCCCATTGATATTGTTCTTAGTTTTGTTCTTGACAGAGGTCAACGGTACCATATAGTCACCCGATCCAAAGGTGGAAAAAGAACGAACGCTTATCAACGTTTACACTCCTATCAAACCGATTATCAGTTTCAGGACGGGCATGGTCCATCATTTCTTTCATTGCAGGGCTCGTTGCCGCCGATCAATCTCAACTGACACCCCTTCCTCCCAAGTCGACGATGATGGTCGATTGCCCCACAAAAATATGGATAGGCGGAAAAGTATGGCAGAAACGTCGGCAAAAAACAGAAAGTACTAGAAAAATGAGAAGAGCATCATAACGAAGACGTCTAGACTGTGCAAAAGAGCCAGAAAGAAGGGAAAGTAGACCATCAGCAACAGCACCACAATCGTCGTCTTTGTTAGAGAACGACACGATGACATTGGCAACGATGACCGAGAAGGTAACGGTATTCCAGATTAGAAGATTTTCGTAGAATGATCTAACAAACTTGTGCAAAAAGTGCAGAATGCAAAAGGTAATATATATGCACAGGCTGATCCCTGCCACCGCCAGGGCAATCGTCCCACTCCATTCAGGTCCCCCTATATGAAGCGTGTCAACAGAGAAGCATATCAATGTGGCAAAGATACCTGGTGACAGCGCCGTCACGCCAAAAAAGAGGGTCTGTCCTAGCAGCTAACTGTATATCATGAGCTTAAACCCTAGCCTGTGTGGATCACGGAATAGGATACCAGGCGACGTAAACAATAAAAATAGGTAGCAGGCAATAGTTCCGTTGATCCACCATCGACGCTGGGTTATAAATGATTTGATATCGGTCTCGGCTTCGGTGTAAAACACGGCCATCGGAACCCATCTCGTGTACTTGCCTGTCATCAAGCAAACAGTATAACTCAATATGCGATCTTCTGCAAGCAGAAGGTTGCCCTTGATGAGCCCGTCCTCGGCTGAGATGTTGTTAATGTCGTTGATGTAGTGGTCCATTGGGGCTCCTCCACAGTCACTCATGCGCCAAAGACCGGCGGGACTAGGAATGACAGGAAGCATGCCCATGAACGAGAATGACCCCAAGAAACTAGATATTGACGCCTCGTAATCGTAAGATTGCACGGCACGATACCATATCTGCATCAAGCCTTTTTGAAGTATCATAAAAGAGAGACAGTAATAGGTAATGTTTAGGTAGATGAAACATCATACGGTGAGATCTTAACTTTGTTGAAGTAGAAAGAGAGACATATCGGGGTAAAATTTACATGTACCGATGTAGGTAATAATAAAAAAATCAAAATCAAAATAGGGAGTTTAATATCATAAAAGTTCATTATCACCAGATATATAATCATGTACCTTCAGTTCGTAGACTTTGCATGGTCGAAGACATTACTCTTTGTCGCCCTGTAACTGCACTAACTTCAGGATGCGTCTAAAGGCACTGGATAAGGTAATACAGACAACCTTTTGCATGTAGAGTACCGCAGTCTCTGTATATGAATGATAGTGATATGACAGTATTTATTTAGCATATATGTGTGGATAAGTGTGAGAGTATATTGTATGTATATATATTGTATGTATATGAGAAAATATATGAACAAACGTAGACACTTATCTCAATAAGACTACAGCCCGGAGTGACCCAATGTGCACGAGAAGTTCCAGTACATACACTATAGGATATATGCGAGAATTCAGTAATTCGGGAAATCAAGAATTGCAAGTCTGCAACGATATTTAGTCGATATTGGACATACTCTCAAAAATCAAGCTTATCGGACAAGTGTTTTGAACAAATACAAGTCGACCTACCAATCTCATATTCCCTGCAATAGGCCACAAAAAAACCACTCATGAGAATTTGTTTTTCTCCGATTCTGTCCCTTGATGAGAAAATTGAGGCGGAGATGTTTACCAGGTGCAATCTCGACCGGTCCGTGACTACTATCAATATCATCGTTAGCAGCCGCGTGAAGTACCGTTATGTACTCTGTGTCCTCACTCATATACCTTTTTTCGACCCACTCATTCGTCTTATACAACGACGAAATTTATTCCACCATTGTTGGGTTGGCCATGAGAATCCCGTCCATAACGGCCGGATACAGAAATTCTACACCCAGGTCGTCACATTCTACTTGTTAATCGTACAGGCTCTCAAGAGTTCTTTTAAGTTCTGCTTTCCCTCGTTAAAGAATGGAATAACGACATCGACCACTGCTTTACTTCGACACCTGTGCGGTGGAGAATATTTACAATTTTTCAAGGGTAGTAGTGTGTCGTAGTCGGTGGTAACTGCAAAACTACCTGGCGATGGCCTCGGTCGAACGACTGGCGTAACCCTCCTATAATCACCTGACAAGGAGTGATCCGACATTGCAGATGATTGGGGAGTCGGGTGCAGCGACATGTCTCTACTCGGTCACGCACTGTGTATTTTTCAAAGTGCGAAGCGGACAACTGGCTCGGAAAAGAACCAATCCACTTTTTGAGTGAGTACTAGCGTTGTGATTCTGATCGATGCAGATTACTTTTATTTAAAATCCGCTCCAGAAATTTACATTTCCGTACTCGGTACTCACCTACTGTATTGACCAACTTTCTTCAGATCGGCTCACGCGGTCAGTGCCGGACACGCCTCAAAGCCTCACGGGAAAATGTAAGACTTCAAATTGGGACAATCTGTAGGAGACATGAATGGTGAACTGGCTAGTGGTCACTCAGCTGGTGTCTGGTGAGTGATTTCATAACCGCTTGGAGGGCTGTACAATGTAAATACATAGGCCCTGGCCCTTGTGCCCCCCCCCCCCCAAGTGCGGCAGTAAAGTGTAGTTTAGGTCTGTAAGACTGTACATAGGCAATGTAGGGTAAATAATTTTGTTTTGAATAAAAAATAGTCTTGTAAATATTCTAAATTTTTATTGTGTTCAATGAAGGTCATTGTTATAATATTATAATATTTATAGTGCACCTGGGGCTGGCAGTGCTGGGTGACTCAAAGTACGACTATTTTATACATGTGTGTCTATTTAAATATTTTATACTTGTGTCAGTTGTGTACCTATTTTTATTTATTTATTATTAAATATACTTTACCTGTGTCCGTTGTGTGTCTATTTCTATTTGACTTTGTAACAAAGTGTTTAGAGTTTGTATGTAGGAGAGTGACTAGTGATATACTAATATAGTGACAACTACTGAGTACTGACTAATTCACCAGATTTGAAATACTACTAAATATTAGAGTCATTGACCAACTAAAAATTAAAAATTTTTTAGTTGTAAGTTTGACTTGTTAGTGAGTTGTTTATAAAAAAACTAAAACAAAGCAAACGATATAAAAAATAAATAGAAATTATAATGTCAATTTATCATAAAACAAGAAAAACCCAAAAAGTTCTCACATTTTTTTTAAAACAAACAACGATTCTCTGTAAGAGTTCAGACTTGTTTTTTTTGTAAATACAATATGCAGTCGCCAGTCATACATTTTAGTAGTACATACTCAATATGTACTGTATGTTTAAAAGCTACAAAGAGTTTCAGAAGGCTATTATGTATGTTTTACATATGAAAAATAAATATCCTCTGAAGTCTGAACTTGAAGGCTCTGATCCGGTGATCCCTCTACTCTCTCTACTCTCTCTCTAGGGTAGATAGAGGCTACGTAGTATGTACTATGTACTATGAAACCACCTAAAAAAAGAACACTGAACCAGTTCTGTTAAACCAGGCGTCAGTCGTCACTCTCGTCAGACTCTCTCTCGTATAAACTATGATATGTATGTATGAGTCTATGGGTCGCGACTCATGATACGTGTGACACTCACAGTCTCGACTCTCGTATCTCGTCAATCGTCACTCTCGAGTCTCGACCGAAGACTGGAAGACAGATGACACTCATGACCTGTTCAGCTCATGACAGTCCCACATCCGCGAAAAATGTCGGGCCAGGCCGAATCCCCAATTGAGACGTTCGTCCCCAACGACTCCTTACCCAATGACCAATGGAAATTGGACATACAAAAATATATCACAAACCTCTCTGCCCAGGTCAGTACTCTACAGGCCAATCTCAATCAAATTTTGGGACCGGCTCTAACAAGAACAATGATGGGCCCATCTCCAAGGAGCCTTTGACTGATGACCAATGCAAATCAACCATACACCAAATGCTCACTAACCTCTGTGCAAAAACAACCAACCTTGAATCCGAACTCCGGGATCTTAAATCCCAAACCTGTGCACCTATAGATGAAGACACACCCGACACTTTCCGATTTGGCTCCACAAGCCCGCCTGTTCCGCCTGCAAAAAGACCGCGGTCACAGGCGCCCAATAGCAGCAGTGAGCCTCCCAGCTACCGCTCAAAAGTGGACAAAAGTGGACAAACCTGCAAAACCGAGCCCTAAAAAACGCCCGACCCCACCAGCTTCTCAGTCCCAATCGCAGCCGCCAGTACCCGAGCACCTTTTGACGAAAGTGGTGGGCCGCCCGATGCCGGACAAAACGCTTCATGAAATGGATGACATAACTCCGGTATGGCTCTTCTTCCGAGCAATTTTCCCTACCGGCAAGCCCCCATCCTAATCAGTATTTGAAAAATACTGGCATGCCCAACCAGCCCTCAATCGCCACCACTTTCTCTGGTATCTTCCGTCTAAATCGGTATCTCAACCAAATCGCCGCGGAAGCTCCACCAGTTTCATCCGCCTTTGTGTTCCTAGTGACTCTGTCGCCCAGGTGAAACGACATACAGCACTTACGTGGAAATGGCAGCTTGATGAAAACATCGACCCCCACTCCCAACAACATCCCGACGCTACAAAAGCAGCTTTAATTCACTATCTCCGCACCAAGCGGGAGGCCCGCTGCACACATGAACGAGCGCCAAAAATTCTTGCCCGCAGCATGGATGCACTACTGAGCCCACTTGTCAACTCCACTAACGCAGACATCTTCCAATCTACCGCGGACCGTCTCCAGAAGGCTTACCAAGCAAAGCATGATGCAAACCTCTTCTCACTTAACCCGCGAATCCCGGTAAACGCTAAAGAATCAGCGCGTGCGTAACCCGGACGACTTCATATACCAATGGTCTCCCCTATATAATCATCCTACATGATGGATAGCAATACGCAGCCTCAGCTTTCCACGACAGACTCTTTGACGACAGGCAATGATATAGAAATGGCTGACATCGTCAAAGAGGAGAGCCCAGTAGTACTGACCGATGATTAACAATGTTAGAACCAATGAGGATGGCGCTCTTCAACCCACAAGGACTCAACATGGACAACGCAGCACATACAGATAAGTGTTTGAACGTTATATCGATTTTAAGTCAGGTTGATGTTATGTGTGTGGTTGAAACCTGGCATAACAGCACATTTATTAATCATTTAGGCTCGAACACACGCTATCATATACTACATCACACTACACGGCATAATATCTTACACCCTTCACACTGTGATATTGGTATCTTTTCCAAACACCACCCATCGAATTTTCAACTTGTACACTCTTCACCGTACGCGGTGTTCTTTGTGTGCTTTGGCGTTCATATGGCCGTGTTCTACTTTCCACTCAAATCGCTTACTGAAGAAGACGTCAGGCGATACATGAATCCCCCCGAGATTGGCGGTTTCCAACCAGATGTCGTGTGGGGAGATTTCAACTTCAAAGCCCGGAAGTATGGCCACGCATCTACAAATCACGTACTACGTATGAAAACGATTGAGACTACTCTGCGTAATACGTGGCACTTGGACTACCTCTATGCTGGCGGCTCAACTGGTACTGAACATGCTTATCATCGACCTACCACCCCCGCCTCCCTCCAAACTTATAAGCTGACAGACTACGGTATCTGTGGTGACCACACCTTTGGACTCGATCTCCAGATACTTCCCACGAATCAAATCCATCGGCCCCAACAAATGCCAGCAATGCCACCGCCTCCGGACCAACGCCTCCCCTCCCATGGATATAACCGATATCACCATCGACTGTATCACCTACGCAACAAATCCCGCGCGCGACTATTCCAAGCCGAACTCCGGGCGTATCAGAACCTACTACGGTCGTATCGCACTTTACATGGACCAGCGGAAGGGCTGCTACGAATCCTC